AACAAAATAGATACTGCCCTTCCTGAACATGTGTTTTATGGCAGGAGATGAGTCTATAAACAGCCAGTGCAATAAATTACATGGTAGAAGGTGACCCTCCAAAATGGGCATGACAGAATCAGGTGGAAAGAGGAGGCTGCAAGAGCTCTGAGCTAAGGCTTGAAGAAAGTGAGAGAGTGAGTTGGGAGGTTTCCTGGGGGGGAGGCCTGGGTTGTTACAGGCACAAGGAAGAAGCAGTGCCCCTGGAGGGAGGATGGGGCAATTCAGGAACAGCAAGGAAGGCAGAGCAATGTGGGGGGGAGGGTCAGTGGGAGGTAATGAGACAGAGGGGAGGCTGGAGCTGGGTGGTGGTGAGGGAGAGCTGGCTGAAGGGCCCATAAGTCGCCCAATAGAGAACCACCCTGTAGGCTGGGACGAGTGCTCCAGGCCCAGTTTGGTGGTGATGAGCCAGCATGCTCAGGGCTTGAGGCCCAAAGGATGTCACCATCCAGCTGTGGTGGCAGCTGGGTCCTTACCAGACTTTGTTGCCGGCCATTCTTGACAACGGCCAGTCCATTTTCGAGGCCTCTACCCATTCTCTGAGTTACTTCATGCCTGCCCTGTGCATTCCTTTTCTGCTTACGTAAGATGTAGGGTACAGACACAGCAAAGACGCAAACAAGCTTTTCCACAATGTCCACCTGTATTGGAAGCAAGAACCCAAGCCTGATCCTGCTATTGAAGAACCCTATCTGATGCTCCAGCTTATGGAACCCGATCCTCTGGGTTGCAATTCTAACGTCGCCTCCTTTGTGAGGTCTGCCTGCTACCCAGCTGCTTTCCATCACACCCCCCTGCCTTCTCCCCACACCATTCATTACTGAAGTCATCTCTGTATGTTTGATGACTGCCTTTCCCCCTCCTGAGATCAGGGGCCACAGCTGTTACATTTACCACCATAACCCCAGAGCCTAAAACAGGCTCAGCATACATCAGACATCTGATACTGGCTGGGGGAATGGATGAAAACTGCCAGGGTGGACATGGTTGGAAAGGACCAAAGCCAAGAGCCTCTGGAGCATCCAGCTATGGTGCTCATGATGAGGTTGGGTCCAGGCTCAGGTGAGTGTATCTGAGACCTCTCTCCTGTAGCACAAATGACAAAAGAACCGATGCTACTGGGCTATCCTGAATAAAAAATTAAGAGAAAGAGGGGGGGAAGGAAAGCAGGAATGGGCCTGTTAGAATCACAAAGGTAGGCAGCCAGGAAGACCGGTTGACTTAGCCTGGGTTCTCTAGGAAAGCAATACCAGTGCTATCAATCTACGTATCTATCTGGGGGAGAGCGACATTTACATCAAGAGAATGGCTCAAACAGTTACAGAAGTAGGCAAGTCCAACTCCAGTCAGGTTCCAAGTCTGTAGGGTCAGATGTTAGACTGGAGGCTTCTCCTGTCTCTCATAGCCACAGAGGCTGATGAACCCCAGATCA